GTTAATATCCATTCAATTGAAAAATTCTCAGTAGAAACATGCAAATAATCAAGAAATTGTGTTCTAGTGGAAACTGAACAACTAAGAGCTTCAATATACACATCTCACAGCTTGAGATTCTCTAGCAAAAGAGAACACTGTTATTTGACATTCTAATTCAAGACAATGGAGGAAAATCAAAAATTATAGAGAATAAATTATCAGCTCTTGGCAGGGGTGGGAGGACAATGTCCTAGACTGGAGGTTCCTGTTTTCCACACACTTGAAAGCCTCAAGGCAAAAGCACTCCACACTGGAGGGGGGAAAAAAAAAAAAAGGGACTGGCAACCCCATGGAGGATTTACCTGGACTCAGTGACCCCATCTTCATACCTACGGTGATGTCAGGAGAACCCAGGATCTCATGAACAGTTAGGGTCTTAACCTATGAACTCTCTCTCCCCCTTTTCTAACTATCACACAGTGTGAGGGAGGGAGCTGCACTTTTAGAACTACAGAGAAAATGCCCCAGTACCCAGGGGAAGTCAGGATCACTGGTAACGAATGGGACAAGGACGGCTCTGGAGGGCCAGGTCTCAGCCTCCACAACCAGAGGTGCTCCGTCCTCAGGCTCTGATCTGGAGACTCTGTCGTTCAACACAGAGCACCAAGGCCCAGGCTGGGGATCCTAACCCCCCGGGATCCTCTGAGAGTCACATAAGGAAGGTGGCCACAGGCATCCAAATCTTGAAAGGCAACAAACATAGAGGAAAGGCCCAGAGAAGGTGAAGCAGGGCCTGAGGATGCTCCCAGGCCTCAGTGCCTTGGCCTTTTCCGCCATTGTTTCTTTGTATCGAGGAACCAGTGCTGCAGCACACAGCTGGTCTCCCAACAAGTCATATCCACCCTCACCCATTTTTGGTAAGAACCAGTTTTCTCCACAACTCACCAATTCCTGGCTCTACCTTCTGGAGGTCTAAGGGAATGTCTTCTCTACGCCCAAGAAGCCACTTCAGGAAGAGGGTTGGGAGTGGAAGCCGAACATTGGAAAGTCTGGAGGCAGATGAACGATGTTAGGTCCACACACAAATCACAGCAGTTGAAGTTCTTCCCGGGATTTATGGATGTGCAAGATGGTCGCCCTGGGTGCCCAACTGCGTGGGATGGACTAGTTCTCCCTGCCCCACACTGCAGACCTGAAATGGAAGGATGGGGAGGAGATGGTGCTGAGTAAGCACGAGTGGCAGGTGCTTGGCTTCCTCCCAGGCTCAGGGCCATGCTCCACCCGGAGGGCACTGGCACTGAAGGCAGAACAGGCTCCGGCCTCCAGAGCACACGCCGGCCTCCTGCCTGTAGTTCCACGGGCTGCTTCATTCTTTCAACAAGGTAACAGCTGGAGGAATTCACTTATTCCAGAGCCTGAGAAGCAACCAATTTGCTTATATTATATGATGGTTAATGTTAACCAAAATTGCAATTACTTCATTATGGAAACCGTAATGGTATTTAAACAAAGAAAGGAGTGGGAATATCTGATAGATCAGGAGGGGTACTCTCTGACGAGGTGGCATTCTAAGAATTACTGAATCTGAACCTGAATTCTAAGAATTACTGAATTCCTCTGGTTAAAAAGTATTCCTCTGATCAGTTTGAAAGCCTACAAAAGTAGTAAAATCTTGACATATTTGAAAGTTTTTAAAACTTGCTTTCCTAATTGAGACCTCCCACGGCTAGTTTCAGCTGAGAACCACAGCCTACAAGATGACCCTGAAAAGAACACACTAAGCCTTGGAGCAACCAAGATAAAAGAGAAACAGAGATACCCTTGGCTGACAGAGGCCTGAGGGTGTCCACTCCTATACTCTGCCCCCTTGTAGAGTTAATCTCTAGGCAGGCATGAGGAAACTGAAAAACACTTCTGACCAAGGACGTTTTCTTATAAAAGACCAGAAGAAGAGCTTGAGAGGACACAAGACAACTATGACTCGCCCCATGATGGGAAGAAAACATTATCAGCATTCCCCAAGTCCCCTCTACATTCTCAGCTCAAATCTCTTTAAAACCTCTAACCATTCCCCAACTCAGGGAGACAGGCATTTTAGAGAAACTGTTCTGTCTCCTTGAGTATCCATACTCAATAAACCTAAAAAGGTCAATAAACCTTTTGCTTTCTATTGAAGTAGGTGACTCTATTTTATAACTCCATTTTGTAATGTCCTGCTATAACCTGCAATATCTTGCTAAAACTCCATTTTTGTAAACACCTCTGAATAACCTACTCACCCCCTCCCAATATGAAAACCCCGTTAGGAGTAACTCACAGAAACTGAGGGTCCTCACCCCGAAATGTTTTGAGACTTCACTCCGGGGTAGTAGTTCCCTTATCGCCCCTATAACGCTAACCTAGCAGTTTCTCGCTTCTGTAACACAGCCTGCTTGCCTGCTTGTGGTTTTAAGCTTTATAGAGTCTGCCTGAAATGAGGCTCGCTACTGCAGTTAAGGTGCACCCATTGTTCCTCTGCAGCCTGGCTACAGCTGAGTAAGACTCTTCTAAATTGCTGGACATTATAGTGGTTATCAGCTTCTTCAGAACCCACAACACTCTCTTCAACCTTTTGTGATCATTGGCTCTTCAGCACAGGGCGTAAGGACCATGTTTTCCTACAACACCGTCACCCCCATAAAAATGACCACTGTCAGAAATACCGAAAACAAGAGTTGGGGAGAATGTGGACAAACTGCCGGTGGAATTGAAAAATGGTGCCGCCTCTGTGGAAACGTGTGGCGGTTATTTAAAATAAAAAACATACAACTACCTCACCCAGTAGGCAGATGAGGCTGAAAACTCCGTTTTGTAAAAACAAAACAAAACTCCGAGGAGCCGGTGCACGGACTGGAGGGTGAGAGAAGGGCGTTGAGACTCAGGCTAACGACCACCAGCGCCCACAAGGCCCCGGTCCGCATTTCTCATAAACTCTCGTTGACGTGGACACTGCAGAGCTGAGAACCTCACGTTTGCTCCACGAGGGGTATCGCGATATTACTTGCTCCACACCGCGGAAACACAGGTCCGCGCCCGCTGCTCGGGGTCCAGGAAGCGGCTACGGCCGTCGGACCAGCATCGCACAGGAAGCGGCAAAGGCGGCGCCCGGCGACAGGAGGTCCTGAGGCTCTGGGAGACGGAGAGACCGAGAGTGCGCGGGAGAGCGGGAGTAGCGCCTCGGACCGGGACTGGAGCCTGCGGGGGAGCCATTACGGTAGCAGCTGATGACTATGGCTGGAAAATCTCTCTCAGAACTGAGCAGGAGCGCGAACAGCCGCCAGCCGAGCTGGCTGACTGGCGACTGAGGAAAAGCTGCCCCACACCGGCGCCAGAGCGCATCCCCAAGCTGCAGCGGACCAAGGCAGGCTTCAGCTTCTGGCTTCTAGGATCTCGGTGCCTAAGGGGAATAGTTCCCTGTGGTAACCACAGGGCTCTAACTCGTCACCAAGGAATTCTGTCGCTCCCTGCTGTGTGCGGCTAGGCCCGAGGCTGCCTTTATTTCCTCTCTAGATAAAAGCCTAGAGTTCCTTCGTTTGTGAACTGAAAGCACTTTTCTGTAATCAGATACCCTTGAGGAGCAGAAAAACTTCGTATTTGCATATTTGGTAGTTTCAAAAAAATCCAGCATATTTCACAAAGAAATTATTTATTTACTCCTCATGACTATTTCCACACTTTAGAATTGTTGAAGTCTCTAGCTTGACTTGTTTCCTGGTTTGTGGTCTCTTGCTTATCAGGCATCTTCCCCTGGGAGCAGGACACAGGCTGTGCAAACCCAGTCTAATCTCCCCAAGGGCTCAGGATCCTGCACACAGGAGTTTCCCAAGGTGAGGGCCAGGAAGACGCCAGTCGTTCTGAGGCCCAGTAGGTAAAACGCCAGATACCTTTGAAAATGACTATTATGAAAAGCTTTTACTTTTTTTCCTCAGATATACACACATGTAATAAAGTACATGATGTGTTCTAAAGTTAAGCGTACCACGCGATGAAATTTTACATCTAGATACACACTCCTATAACCCCCTCAGAGTTTAAGTTAGGGAATTTTTCCAGTATCCAACATTCCCTCCTGCTCTTTTCCTAGGTGACATTCACCTCAGGCATAAGCAGTGATCTGATCATTATTGTGAAATAGGATTTGCACAGGCTTGGACTTCATATCATTGTAAGAATACTGTGTGAAGTATATTGTGTTTGACTTCATTTGATCAACATGTGAGATTTTTTAAATGCTGTTGCACACAACAGTAATTTATTTTTATTGCTGTTGCTGTGTTTTATTCCAATGCATGAATATACTATGATTTCTTACTCCTTTATTGATTTTATTGTTAAAGTTTATGTTATAGCCCAGTATATGGTCTACTTTGTTGATTACTTAATGGGTACTTACAAATAATTTATATTTTGCTGTAGTTAGGGATTCTGGTGGCGTAGAAGTTAAGGCATTCCGTTGCTCATCAAGTCGGCAGGGAGCCACAGGAGAAAGATGAGGAAGGCTATTTCTGTACAGATTTAACAGGCTTGGTAAAACTCGTGCAGTCCTACTCAGTCCTCTGGGGGCGCTGTGAGTCAGAATCAACTCCACGACAGTGGGTTAGATTGAGTTTCTTTGGTTTTATGCTGTCCTGGTGTATAGTGTTCAGAAATTGTCAACTAGATCAGATGATGGATGGTGGTGTTCAGGTCTTCAAGGAGCTCTGGTGGCATAGTGCCTAAGGCATCTGACTGCTAACCAGAAGGCTGGCAGTTCAAACCCACCAAACACTCCTCGGAAGGAAGACGGGGCAATCTACCTCTGTAGAGATACTGCCTTGGAAACCTGAGGGGTTGCTATGAGTCAGATCCAACTCTATGGCAGTGAGTTCTCCATATACATGCAAAGGTGTGTAGTGGTTACTAAGAACAGAGTCTGGAACACTAAGAAATATGATGACATCAGTATGTTTTTCTGTATTCAAAGATAAAAGAGTCATGATTAAAGGACCCTCAAATGATTGGGAAATGTTCTTTCATATTCATACTATTAAAAAAAAAAGAATAAGAAAACCAAACTCGCTGCCATCAAGTTGGTCCCAACACATAGCGACCCCTTCTTGGGTTTCCAAGGCAGTATCTCTATGGAAGTAGACTTCCCAGTCTACCTTCCAACGAGTGGCTGGTGGGTTTGAACCACCAGCCTTCTGGTTAACAGTCAAATGCCTTAGGCACTACACCACCAGAGCTCCTGTTCATATTACAATCAGGGGCAAATCAGGACCCTGACAAGTTATTGAACATGCTGTTGGGCAAAAAGGACCACTCACCCAACACAGAATGTCTCATTTCTTGGGTGGCCTTTGCTGGAAGTTAGTTAGTTAGATATTTTTGCCTTCTAAAGATTCCCTTGTAAAGATTACAGAAAGGGGATATATTACATATTCATCATCCTGATAACTTTCCCTACGAGAAAAGGCAGCGAAGTCAATTGACTATAAAGAGAGATGAAATACCTTAAGACGTCATTACTAAAGGTTATTTTTTCCAAGAAAGATGGATAGATAGTGCAGGGTCTCAACATTCAAACTCCAGAGTCAATTCCAGCTCAGTCATGTACCAGCTGTGTGTTGTCAGGTCACTTCCTCTCCTCACCCTGTTTCTTCTCAGATGCAATTGAAGATATAACAGTACTTATCCATGGGTGCAGGCGATTGTCTACTTGTGTTTTTCTTTCGTCTGTTCCACCTCCTTTTGGTAATGACATTGGGACTCTCCTTTGGGAGTTGCCTCACTTTAGTTTGGTCCAAATGCTACAAATAAGACTCACCTTAATTGCAAGCTACAAGGAGAGGCAGGAGAGTCATGCTTATTACTAAGAGAACCCTGGACACAGTGACTGGTTCAACAATTAGCATGGGACCTGCACAAGGCCAAACAGAATCGATTCTAAGACATTTGCTTAGGTTGTTGGAGGAACCCCTCTAGCGTTGTTACCTTGATGTAAGGATACAGTTGATGGCATTAACATCATGATGACATGAGAACAGTCAGATGAAGCAACACAAAGTAAAGCAGAGAAAAAGAAAGTGTCCTGGTGCTTTACCTGAGCCCATGCGTGCAGCCAC